AAAGGTCAACACTGCCTTCAGAGAGCCGAGCACGCGGCCAGAGACGCGGCTTTTACCCACACTGTGCCACACTGGCTGTTACAACGCAAACCCGGAGCTCAGCACTGAGAGGCCCGGCGGAGGTGCGAAGCTGTGGAAAGCAGGGCAGGGATGGGGCCTGGAAGGACGTGGTGTTCAGGCAAACCGGGCCATCTGCTGTGTGTGTGGGCACCGGATGGCAGGCGCGTGGGAAGGCGGCTGGAAAGGTGGCGGGAGAAAGACACGGGCACGGCGGCAGAAGACGCGCAGGGCGGCCGCAGGCGTGGGACTCGCAGTGCGTGTCTCAGCTGCGCGCTCACTGCCTGTAGAAACTGAGCAACCCGACCTGACCGGCACTGCTGTCCCCTTCGGGGGCGCTGCCCGTCGGTGTCCACGAGGCTCCGCTCACCAGTTTTCCAAAAGTTGGCGTCCCATTGATTTCTGCAATTCCCCAAGCCCCGGGGCCATCTGGAAGCCCGAGTGGAGCAGCACCGGGCCTCGAAGGGAGGGGCCGGGCCCAGAGCAGGCGTCCCTCTCTGTGGGCTCGCCGTGTCCAGATCTGATAATAGCTAATTCCACCAAATATTAGAGGGGCTCACATTTAATTAAGGAGTGGCCATGTGCACGCTCTAGACTGGAGGTCCCCACTGCCCCCAAGTCAAAGGCAGGGTCCTCCGGGAAATGCCAATCTCTCCTTATTTCTCCGCTGAACGCCCGCTCTCTTTGAATGCAATTATGGGAACAAATAAAATGGCTTAACTCAACTCCCCTGTGAGACCACCAGCTCTCTGCTGATAAAACGGGTTGTGTGGGCAATCATTAAATGAGAAATCTAATATTTAACTAAATTTAATAGTCTCTTGCTTTGGTGCTTCTCTGTGAAGGGTGGGAGGGAGCTATTCAGATGGAGCCCGGGCCCCCAGCAAGCGATTAGACCATCCTGCTCCCACACGACGCCAGAACACCCCAGTTTGGGCATTGATAAGGGGGTGTTTGGTGACGAGGCTGTGTCCTCCGTAGCTCTGGGCAGGCCCGTGCTGTCTGAAGCCTCCCCTTCTTGCTGGCCATCTCCTGCACCGATGCTCGATGCAGGAGAGCAGGTGAATGCATAAGGACCTCGCGAGCTCTGCAGGCAGAGGCTGACTGACAGCTAGGGGCCCATCTGTGCTCTGCCTTCGCTAATTTCACAGATTTGAGTTCCCATCTTCCCAGCCCTTCACTCGCTGTTCACCTGGCTGAGAGGTGAAGATCACAGTCTCCTGGGGTCGCGGCGGACATGCCGTGAGCAGCAGCTTGGAGATGGACGGCCTCATCAGACCTAGACACTGGTCCCCTCACAATAAGCCTCAGTCTGGGCGTAGCGATGAACTGGCACATATCCCTGGCATTCATTTCATATCAATAGATGTATCAGTAGTCCTTCAAGCTCTAGAAACTCTAGTGTAGATTTGGTAGACATCTGCTTTTGTTTGGGCTGGTTTGCTATATACGTGAGCTTGCCCGCCACTCTGGAAACTTCTGAGAGCCTTGGGATTTCTGAGACTTCCAGAAGGATCTCTCAGGTCTGTTGAGTTTCTTCAAGACTGTCTTGAGGCCAAGGCAGCAGGGCCCTGTGAAGAACAAGGAGAAAGGTTTGGGTAGAGATCTAGCCTCAGACCACTAAAAACTGCTTCATTTCTATAGCACTGCTAATGAACAGACCCTCCCTCCCCAGTGACCAGAAACACATTCACTACACTTCAACTGAGAGGGAGGGGCAGAACACCGATGCCTGGGGGGGGAGGGGATGTGGCCACACAGGCAAACTCTTCCATTTGTGTTAAGTGTATCCAGAGTGGTAGGCAAGATCGCTCGGGCAGGGTGGCACCTTCTCTTGGAGGAGGTGGTGTTGGATAGAGCAGCAAAGGAGGGTTGATGTGTAGGGAGAAGCAGGTGGCAGTGCCGGAGACAGTAGAGAGTGTGCAAGGTAGAAAATGCCAGTCTTTCTGGGTTGGAAGGGCTTCAGTCCAGACTTGCAGCCTCTACATGGGACTCAAAAGCGGATAACAAATGAACTCCCACAAGTCACATAACCCTGTGCGGCGGTGCTCTGTGCTCTGAGTGCTGTGTCGCAGGTCAACACAGCTCTCAGGACTGTGGGGTGACGCAGGCACAGGGCACATGCCCCAGGCACAGTACCTTCCCCGGTCCACCCTCTGTGTGTGGCAGAGGGAGGCCCAGCCGGTCAGACTGCAGACTTCCCTCAGGCCATTCTAGCTCAGACCCCTCCTGACACCACAATCGGTTGTCCCTTCTGGCCTTCTTCCGGAAACACCACTGCGCTGTGGAATTTATTTAGACCCTTACAGCATGGTCTAACATCAGGATTTCTTAAACTCTGCCTACCCAAAACTAGTTTCCTTCTTCTGACTGTACCTTTTTTTAAAAAAATCATAGCTGAATATTGCCAGGCACCAGTGGCTCACAACTGTAATACTAGCTACTCAGGAGGCTAAGATCTGGGGACCAAAGTTTGAAGCCAACCTAGGCAGGAAAGTCTGTGAAATTCTTATCTCCAGTTAACCACCAAAAAGCCAGATGTGGAGGTGTGGCACAAGGTGTAGCATGCCAGCTTTGAGTGAAAAAAGCCAAGTGAGAGATGATGTCCAACCACTTGAAATCATTTTCCATTCTTTATCAGCTCAGGCATGGGGACACGCCCTCCTTCTCCTCCCTGTGGGCTGAGGGCTCCAGAGATACTGATCTATACACACAAACCATTCCCTGCCAGGATCTTCCTGTTACAAACCATAATTTCACCTCCAGTGCACACACCTGTCAGCAGCCCTCCCTGAAGGTAGACATCGCCGTGAAGGGGCGTGACCTTACAGCGGTGACACTGTAATGTTAGCTCACTCTTGACAGCAGTTGCCAAGTCTTGCTTTGATGTGTTGTGCTTCTAGATCTCGACTTGGTAAGTTTTGACCTGTGCCCAGAGTCCTAATGTTTCCCCTACTCTTTCCTGTAAAGTTTCACGGTTTTTGGTCTTACACTGAGGTCTTTGATCCATTTGGAATTGATGCTGGTACAAGGTGCTATATAAAGATCTAGTTTTCATTTTCTGCATGTGGATATCCAATTTTGCCAGCACCATTTGTTGAAGAGGTTGTCTTTCTTCCAGCCTTTGTCTTTGGCTCCCTTATCAAATTATTAGATGACTATAGGTCTTTTCTGGGTCTTCTATTTTGTTCCATTAGTTCTCCGGCCTCCTTTTGTGCCAGTACCAAGCTGTTTTCATTACTATGACTTTGCAATACAGTTTTTGAAGTTTGGTATTGTTATTGTGCCAATACTATTGTGCCTACTAAGGCTTGCTTTGCTATTCAGGGTCATTTGTGGTTCCATATGAAATTTTGGATTGCTTTCTCTATCTCATTGAAGAATGTTGTTAGGATCTTATCCATCCACCAGAAAGAATGATATTATACTATTCATAAGGAAATGGAAAGACCTGGAAAAAATCATACTGAATGAAGTAAGCCAGACCCAGAGAAACACGGGTTGCATGGTTTCCCACATTTGTGATAGCTAGAATGATCCTCTAAACCTGTAAGTAAACACATTTGGTGGTATGCAAGTGCTTACGAATGAATTGAGTGAAGTGTAGTAGACTCTACGGAGAGCTCAAATAGTGTAAGACAGTCGTAGAAATAAGCACCAAGAAATGGGTCCTTGGAAGAGGGTGGGCGGGGCCAAGGGGTGAGGGATAGATAAATGTAGGGGGAATGGAGGGAGAATACAGTCAATGACTCGTGGTACATACCACAAAATTAAGAAGAGTAAGGAAGGCGCAGAGAGAGGTGAGGGGAAGAAAAGATCAAGATGCATTCTGTCCATAAGCTGCTTTGTTAAAGGGCAACTCCTCTGCACAACTTCTTAAAGATGATAAATTTAAAAAATTTTAAAAGCAATTCACCAATTCTAGTTCTCTGAGGGCTGAGACAGCCAAAGCCAGACTCCTTAGGGTGGAAACTCACTTCATAAAGAACCACAAGTCAACCCTCACCTGTAGGATTAGTGACTAGGTCCACAAAAATCTCTGCTGTTTCTTATGTATCAGTTTTGGAATAAAGTGAGCTCATGAGCCTCATGTAAAGCATGAAGACGCCCCAGTGCAGCACCACTCCAGGCCCCTAAACCGGGGGGGGGAGTGCAGGGGGGGGCTTTACACATGGCCAGCCCACTACATATAAAGTGTGGCTTGTGGGACTTGACTATCTCGGAAAACAATCACCAAGTGAGGGTTTCCAGCCTTGTGTTCAAGATCTTTTAAAGAAGGAATGTAAGTCCCATTTGTAGGGAGTAATTTAATCAGGATAATAGCACAGGGTGCCCTCCCCTCCACTCCACTCTACTCCCCGGTCATTGTGACCATCATACTGAATTTGTCCTCACAGACACATAAAACCAACAGTCTTCTTTTTTTTTTTTTTGGCCGGTCGTGGGGCTTGAACTCTGGGTCTGAACACTGTCCCTGAGCTCTTCAGCTCAAGGTGAGCACTCCACCACTTGAGCCATAGCGCCATTTCCAGTTTTCTGGTGGTTCAATGGAGATAAGAGTCTCACGGACTTTCCTGCCCAGGCTGGCTTTGAACTGTGATCCTCAGATCTCCGCCTCCTGAGTAGTAGGATTACAGGCATGAACGGCGCCCGGCTAAAACCAACAGTCTTGAGACGAGTCCTACAAAAGCCCATCCATGCCAGTGGGAAGGAAAGGGCAGAGGCGTCCAGAGCTGGCCTGATGGAGGAGGAAGGGCTCTGCGATCGCAATGTGAGCCATGTAACTTGAGCGAGCTGCTTGCTGGCCAGGCCTCCTGCCTAGTGCAAGAGCAGGGGCCAAGGTCACCTCTAGGACAGGTGCAGGATCCATGTGTAGACACATCAGGACCCACAGGTGTTCAGTAACCATTCAATAGTCTCAGCCACTGTTTTCTCCCTTCCAGAACTCTTCGACCTGGAAACCAATGAGCATGTTTGGAAGGCCATTGGTGACCGGCAGATGCCCAAGATAGAATACAAGAAAATCGAGATCGACGATTACAGTGAGTGCTCCTTTTCTCTCCACCTAGGACTGAGCACGGGAGGCCCAGTCCCGGGCAGAGCCTTCCTGCCTGGCTGCCACCCACCTCTGGCTCACTGTGAGGACAGAGGAACTCCAGCAGGGCACAGCTCCCCCTGGCTCAGGATGCTCGAAGACCAACGCCCACCTCTAGAAAACTCACCACTGTCCGCTTGTGCAGCCCCTCCCTCCCTCCTTAGCCGCTGACAGTGCTCAGGTGACGGTGGTTGTCACCTGTAGCCTGATGAGTAGCCCTGTCGCCCGCCACCTTGTGCCCTTCCTCCTCTCCACCAGCCCACCCAGTCACTCACACAGGCAGCTCTGCACAAGGCACTGAAGACACCAGGCGGGAAGCGCTGGCGGGCAGAGTTCTCCCCTCTCCCCACGGCCACTTCAGCCCCGGAGTCCTTCTGCCCTCAGTCTGCACGGTCCTCCCTGCCTTGCCAGGCCTCTGTGTCCCCTGGCTCAGACGATGCCTGTGGAGGGCACCGGCTGTCTGTCTGTGGGTGCGTGTACTGAGCCCCAAAGTCTCCCCAAGTCCCTCACTCAGAGCCCCCGCTGGCAGCACCTCGAAGGTCATCTGTATCCGTAGCCTACTGCTAGTGCTGGAGGGGAGCTGGCCAGGCTGGAGGAGGAGGGTGAAGGCAGAGCTGTGAGCCTCTCCGGAAGGTGCCATCCCGAGCCATCCCTCCCTGTCCTGTCCAGGGTCAGGGGCGCTGGGATGTTTGTGGGTAGCCTTGTGCTTGACCGCTCAGCCCAGCCGCCCCCCCCCGCAGGCAGGGCAAGGGTCCGCAGGGTGGAAACGCCGTGCACCCCTGTGAGACAAGCGGCCCAGCCCAGGCCCTCCCGCTCCCGAGCTCGTGAATGGATTCACTGGGAGCTGAAAGTAAGAGGCGTGATGTCAGAGCGCGCGTGAGGCGGACCCGTCCACAAGAACTTGAAAGGTCACGGCTTGGGCTTCAGGTCCTGTGGGGAGATGAACTGGACTTATCTGGAGACCAGGAGCGAGATGTTGCAGGAAGCCGTGAAGTGGTACCCCACTTTGGCCACAGAATGTGCCTATGCCGTTGTCTCTACCCTGTTCCCACACCCCGACGTGTCCTCATCCCTGGAGCCCGCAGCTGGTGGCCACACCCACCTTTGCCCAACTCCTCTCCTCTGCACAGCGGCTTCCTGCCCACCCCCCTCTGGTCTCTCCACCTGCCCCACGAGGGAGCTCTGAGTACCAGGGTCGTTCACTCCCCCCCCCTCGCCCCCGAGATGCAGAAGAGCCTCCTGCTGGTGTCCCCGGCTTTCCGGCCCTGCGTCCAGGGCACAGCTCTGCTGAAGGGAAGGAAGTGGCCCAGCCATGGACCCCCTGCTGGCACAGCGGCTCACCCGAAGCCCAGGCAGGCTGCGGAGCTGCTCACGCTTTGCTTTCCACTTCTGCCGCCAGAGGTTCTGGTTGTCTGGGTCAGCCAGGCTGCCCTTCCCGAGGCCCACCCGGGGCTTCTAGGGGCAGAGCCAGCCCAGGCCAGCTTTATGGATGGTGAAGCGATGGAATCCAACGCCGGCCTCTCCCGGCTGAGTCCCCGGGCCACTTTGCAAGGGATTAACATTGAGCCCCAGTCAGTGATGAGAAGCTGTGGGGAAGACCGCCTCGCCCGGTGTGTCTGTGCAGTAACTGCACTGGAAAGCCGCTAATGCCAACTTAATGGCTGCGCCTTTGGTAACCGGGGTTGTAGTTAACGTCAATGAGTAAATTCTCGTTTGACCCAGAAGGATGGTCTGGGGGGTGAGCACAGACTGACGCGGGATAGTTCCTCGAGGTTTGGCTGGCCCTTCTCCACACGAGCACCTCGGGCCCAGCGGCCGGAACAGGGCAGCACCACCTCGCCCCAGTCCTCTCCCGTCAGACCTGCTGGCGCAGGCCCCACACACCGACTGGCAAAGCCGCCTGGCATGGGGCTCCCTGTGGCCCCCACACCAGCACCGTTCTTACCTCAGCGCCCATCCCACTGTCTCCTTCCTCCAACCCACTGTTCCCATTATCCCAGTATTTGGCCCACACAACCGTAGTCGCTTCTGGACACCCTGTTGGCTGTCTGTGTGGAACTCTGCAGAGGGCCGGCCAGCACAGACGGGCTGGCTGTGTTCTCTCCTGTTCACCACTGTCCTGTGCAAGGTTGAGCTTAAGCTTCAGACCAAGCTCGGGCTTGGTCAGGTGACTAGCCCAAGGCCACAGTAAGCCCGTCACTGAGTTGAAGGTCCGGTCATCTCCCTGTGGACTTCCTACTGGGGGCCATCACAGCATTCCCGGCCCAGTGGACGTGGCACAGCATGCAGTGTGCTGTACTGCCCTTCCCAGCTCAGCTGCCCCTCACCAGGTTGCGTTCCGTCTCTTCCCAGGCCTGCCCATGCAGATCCTGAAGCCGGCCACCTTCACAGACACCACCCACTACCCGCTGCTCCTTGTGGTGTAAGTACCGCTCTTCCTTCTCAGGTGCCCACTTTGGGATTCAGAGACACCGTGGAGAGTGAGTTCTGAACACTTAAGGCAAGGTAAGCAGGGCCTGCGATGCTGTTCAGACAGACCTAGCGCCGTGCGCTCACCACCTGGCCTGACCTGACAGTGCTGCTCCTCGGCAGAGAACAGGCTCTGGGCCGCTGCTAGAGGTGCTGCGGTGACAGCACAGCGGCTCCCCCCAAGCAGGCCCTGCTGTCTGCTTCCAGGACAGTGAAGGCAGACAACTGACAACGCGGAGAAACCGCGTGGCAAGCTCGGGAGCGTAACGGGCAGGAGGCAGGCCAGAGAAACAGACAGGACAGCCAGTGCCTCAGACACTGCCTGTGGCGGGCACCTTAGCCGGCTGGCTCCGCACAGCAGGAGCCCTGCGCATCTCCAGAGACTGCCCTAAACCAGTTCTCAGCCAGCATGGTGTCAGGCTCTCCCTGAATTACTGAGCCGGCCTTGAGTGATGGTGAGGCTTACAAATGCCTGGGCGAAGCGGTCTGGCTGACCGCCTCAGTCTCAGCCACGGTCCCCGTCGCCTGGAGCGGCCCCCTGCTAATCCTGGGCTCCACCCTCCGCTGCAGAAGGCTTCACTGCAAGGGGCTCCATCTTACAATCATGCTTCCCTTAAGATTGCTGGTGAGCTGCCACACACACACACACACACACACAGACACACACACACAGACATGGACACTCAGAGAGACACACATGGACACACAGACATGGATACACAGACATAGATACACACAGACATGGGCATACATACACACACAGACATGGACACTCAGAGACCCACACATGGACACACATGCACAGAAACAGACACGCAGAGACACACACATGGACACACAGACATGGGCACACAGAGAAACAGACATGTACACACACACACAGAGAAACATGGATACGCAGAGACACACAGATGGACGGACACACAGACATGGACACGCAGAGAGACACACATGGACACACAGACATGGGCACACACACACAGACATAGACACACACAGACATGTTCTCTCTCAGTCTCTCTCCCTCTCCTTCCTTCTCTCCTCCCTTCCTCACCTACTCTCTCCCTCCTCCCTCCCATCCTCTTCCCCCCTCTTTTCCTCTCTTCCTTTCTCTCCCTCTCTCCCTCTCCCTTCCTCTCCCCCCTCTCCTTCTCTTGCTCTCTCTCCCTCTCCCTTCCTCTCCCTCACACTCCCTCTCTCCTCCCTCTCTCTCTCCCTCTCCCCCTCCCTCTCCCCCTCCCTCTCCCCCTCCCTCTCCCTCTCTCTCTCCCTCTCTTCCTCCCTCTCTCCTCACACTGCTTCCTTTCTCCCATACTAAGCCCAGTTCTCACCACGTTCTAAAAGATGCTCCTGACATCACAAGCAGCGCCCCACCCCCACCCCCGGTGCCCTGGCCTCTCCTGGGATCTTAACGGGAGCCCCCACCCACCCCTGCATCTCTATTGAAAGCTGTTTCCTTCCCCTTCCAAGCAGACCTGGCAGAGCTCTGCAGCATTTGCAAAGAGCCAACACTGCGTCCAATGTCCCATGAGCAGGGACGGGGTGCTGATCAACTCAAAGCGCCCTCGGCCCCAGCAGGCCCAGGCCTGGCCTCCCGAGGGCCTGATGAAGGGTGTGTGCGGCCTGAGCGCCCTCCGCAGCCCTTTCCTGGGAAGGGCGGAGGCTCTTGAGGATCAAGCTGCTACCTCTTCTTTCTTAATGTGGGCACGCTCCGGTCTGGCGCGGCCCCAGTGGGCATGGTTTTTATCACCATAATGAGATACATGCATGTCAGTCCTCAGCCAGCATTTGAGACACCATTGAGACACCGTCCCCCGGAGACGGGACCATCCCCGGTGGCAGGGTGGCCGTGTCTGTGAACAGACGCACACGCGGATGGTCAAGCAGCGTCTCTGGGAAGCATGCTGGCAGAAGCTTCCCGGCGGCTCCCAGTGCACAACACTAGGTGCAGAGTCTTCTGAGAGCCGCCCCATGCCACACACGCCTCTCCACCACCCCCACGGAGGAGGCCCCGGGTGGAGGCCTGGCCGCGATGCTCTGAAGCGAGGAGGGAATGAGGAGGGAAGGGGGGGCGAAATGTCTCCCTGTGTCCCCTTGGCCCCTCACCCACCCCCGGAGGAGGACGGGAGGCCACTGTGCCGGCCTGTGTGCCACTGCTTCAGATTAACCAAAACACAGAATTGTCCAGACCAGAGTGCTGCTGCGGCCGGCCGCGTGCCGGCGCTTGGTTTCCGAGGCCGGGGAGACCAGGCTTGGGACTCACAGCAAAGAGGATTGGAGAGCTCTTCCGTAGTTTCCCCGCCCGTGAAGAAACGTTGTCTGTGCCTGTCCAAGCAGTGCTGAGCTGGGGCCTGGCCCGTGCCCGGGGGCTCTGTGCGCACTCGGTCCCCATCGCCCAAGGGCTGTGTGGAAGGCCCACTCGCTCGGCCTGGGCTCCAGAGAGCCACGGGACGGGAGTCCCCGGAGCAGCTGCAGCCCACCCGCACGCTGAAGCCCGGCCCTCTTCTCCAGGGACGGCACTCCGGGCAGCCAGAGCGTGGCGGAGAAGTTCGAGGTGACCTGGGACACAGTGCTGGTGAGCAGCCACGGGGCGGTGGTGGTGAGGTGTGACGGCCGGGGCAGCGGCTTCCAAGGAACCAAGCTCCTGCACGAAGTGAGGCGGCGGCTGGGCGCGCTGGAGGAGAGGGACCAGGTGGAGGCCGTGCGGTGAGCAGCCCGGCAGGCCGGGGGGGGGGGGGGGGGGGGGGGGGTGTAAGGTTCGCTGCCGGTGCAGATGTTGTACGTGGAACTGGCTCACATCAGGTGGTGTCCAAAGCGAGGCGTGAGAGAGAGAGTCAGGAGAGCCCTCCTCCAAGCCCGTGCCTGGTCACCTGTGGCGAGGCGGCTTGTGTGTTGAGCTGGTCAGCGTGGGGCAGTGGCACGGGCACTGAGCGAGGTCCGCCCACCTCGCCGAGGCCACCAGCCCTGACCTGTGCCCACACGCCTTTGCTGTCCATTGCCACGGGGGGGGGGGAAGGACAGAGGGACTGTGAGTGGGAGTAGGGGCGGGGCACGGGGCACCCCCGTGCTGAGTGAGTGGGTGCCAGACCTCCCACGCACTACTGAGGACGGGAAGAGCCAGGGCAAAGGACCGGGCGCTCAGAACCATTGACTGAAGTTGATTGCTGTCCTGGAAAAGACAAAGAGCCTGAGGGCTGTGTGCCGGGCTACAGCTGGCCCCAGTCCGCCTTCTTTAGGATCTGGCCCTGTGGTTTCACCACTGAGGAAGAAGGATGCAGGGCCACCGGGAGGCTAGACATGACAGCCGCTCTGTCACCCTGACTTCCGGAAGGTCACTAGTCCCCACAGCCCCTCCCATTGCCGTCCACCCGATGCTGTCCTCCCACAGCCCCGGGCCCCTGTCCATGACCAGCGGACAGAAGATTCCTCTGTGCGGGGCACGAGACCGTGACAAGAGCCGCACGTAGATAGGGTGGACAGAAGGGAACCACCCAGCCTGGAAAGGCCACGGAGAGGACAGGGCCGGTGGCCAGCCTGGAAGGCAGGGCAGGGGCTTTCCAGACAGAAAATGGGAGGTGCAGTCCCAGCCACGTCACGTGAACGCGGGAAGGGGTGAGGCCCAGCCAGACACACAGAGGCGGGAGGCGGGAACAGGCAGGGGTGACGAGGAGGTGGCCGGTGCATGCAGTCAGATAACCGTCAGAGAGGGCAGGCAGCGCTCGGCGGTGCAGTGCTGTGTCCCAGGGGGGCGTGAAGGCTGCCATGGCTGAACCCGGGTCCTTGGCAGGCTGGCTGGTGCAAGAACGGGCCCTCCAGGGCCTAGGGCGCTATGCCCTGTCTGTCTAGAATGGACACGCGATAAAAGTGAGCCCAACCAGCGGGCAGAACTACAGGAAAACAGGAAGTGGGGAGAAACGGGAGCCCCAGGGAAGCCGGCCCACAGGAGGCTCCCACGATGGGGCGCACACAGACGTAGCCGCATTGCCGTGGGAGCCTGCAGACCATGGGACCCAGCCACGCCAGCCTGGACAGCAGGCTGGCCACGCCCAAGGCACAGACCGGGCAGGACCTGAGGAGGGGGGGGGGAGCAAGTCTGCACGCTGTGGGTGTAAGGCTCCTCCTACAACAGGACCCAGGGGCTGAGGACTGGACCCGGCCAGGAAGCCCAGCTGCCCGCCCCACCCCACCCCGCCCCGCCGTGCAGCTCAGAACCGGAGCTCTGACTCCCCAGAGCCACTCGGGTTCCAGGAGGGGCCCACAGCAGTGGGTTTCCTACGGCCAGGGGGTGCCTGCTGCTGGGCAGTTTTATACACCTGGAAGGTCTCTCTCACACACACACACACACACAGGCTCAGGCGTGGCAAAGGTGGTTGAGTTTTATAATCCCAGGGTGCACTGTCATTTAAAGAGAGGCGTTCCTGCCTGCCGAGGTGCTGGCAGAGCTGTGGTCCATGGGGTACTAAGCACATCCACACCAGCACTGAACCCTGTGTCTTCCCCCACCACCTTGCAGGACCATGCTGAAGGAGACATACATCGACAAGACGCGGGTGGCTGTGTTTGGGAAGGTGAGTCTGGCCGTCTTCTGTCTGATCTGTCGGATGAGTGGAGTTGCAGGACCTCCAGGCTCCACCTGGGTCTTGAGGCCACGTGGGAGGGGGCCTGGGTAGAGGCTTAGGTCCCGTTGGCTGACACACAGCCGACCCTCATCGGATGACCTGGGAGCAATGGCCGGAGCTCCGTGGCAGCCCTGGCCCCCACCTGTACCTGTGGCCACCGCACTGCTCCCTGGTTCTCTGAGTCTACTGCTGTCTCCCACCAAAATGTACCCCTCCATGTGCCCTCTGCCCTGTCACCTTAGCCATCCTCAAGACCTGCAGCCCCTCCGCCTGCCCCGGCAGCCCTGAGGGCCCGGCACAGGGCTGCTGTCGTGCTAGCCGGGACACGCTCTGAGGTGGACTCTCCCTGCCAGCCCCAGTCATCAGCACCTGCCATGAGGCCTCACCACTCATGCAGACCTGGTCGGAGATGACCCATGCTGCCCGGTGTTCTCTCTGGACCGCTCAGATCGCATACAGGGACTGGCCTTGCCTGCAGACATCTGCATGCATGCTTACACTCATGTTGTCTTCACCGGAAGCTGGAAGGCAGGTGGGAGGGAGGCTGTGCAGCACGCTGGATTGGGACGCTGGGTCGGCCAGCCTCCTGCCGGCCGCGTGTTTCCAGCCATCACCTCTCTTCATCGCGCTCGCTCGGCAGGAAGCATCTCATCACGAATCCTGGGCGCGGACGTGTTTGCTTTGCACCTCCTCTAACTGAGCTGAACACACTTTTAAAGTTAAAATTTTGCGTAAGTCCCTGGCTGTGTCCAAGGCTGGTCTTGTGATCTGTTGTGGCCTCTCTTCTCTCTCTCAACGTCCCAGGATTACGGTGGCTACCTGAGCACCTACATTCTCCCGGCCAAGGGCGAGCACCAGGGCCAGCTGTTCACCTGCGGCGCTGCCGTCTCTCCCATCACAGACTTCCACCTCTACGGTAAGGCCCCAACGAGACCCACAGCATGCCCGCCCCACGGCCTTCTCCTGCGGAAGAAAGGGTCCTTCATTCTGAGTGAAAATGCTCATTTCTGCAGGCCATGTGGTCAGCTCACAAGGCCAGCAGAGCTGGTGGCCCTGCTGGCGGGAGTGGGGTTAGAAAGCCTCCCCTGCCACCCGCCCGTGGCCCTTCCCCCCCAGGACCGCCTTTCCTCTGCTGCCAGCGTGTTCTTGGTGGGCCTCTGAGAAGGGAGAAGGGCTGGGTGGTAAAGACCTCTAAGGGGTGTGGATTCTGCATCTTCCACACTCCCACACCCAGCACACACACATGCACGCGCACACAGTGCATTCCCAGCCATGCATCCGCACACTCACGCTCATCTGCTACCAGACGACAATTCAACAGAGGTCAAAGCAAGCTCACCCTCCCCCTGGCCAAGGCCTGTGCCAAGTGCTGTTGTTGGGGTCCAGTCCGGACAGAGGAGGCCACTCGGGGGTGACTGAGCTTGCGCGTTCCTCCTGCCAGCCCCGTTTTCTGGTGGGGCGTGGTTTGGGAACACACACACCATGTGGGGTGTTTTGGATTTTTGTGCACGGAGGTCTTTTCTGTGGCTCTGAGCAGAAAGGCCGGGCACCAGGGGTGGAGGCCCTGAGCCTCGAGGTGCGTGTGGAGGGCATTGCGTGTGCTCTGTGGAACCTGCAGGAGTCTGGCTCGTCCTTTGGCTTGCCACAGCCCGTCGCTCATGCTGTGGGCCCCATGGGGCAATCCAGGTCCCCCTCGCTCCAGCCTCACGACAGCTCCTCCTCACAGATGCTCTTTCTAGGGCAAATGTCCACCTACACTTCTATAAGACTGCTCTTGGGTCAGCATCCGGATAAGAGTAATTTTCCAGCCAGGTGCCCATGGCTCATTCCTGTCATCACAGGTGCTCAGGAGGCTGAGATTGGAGCCAGCCCAGGCAGAAAAGTCCGAAAGAACCTATCTCCAATTAACCAGCACAGGGCTGGCTCAATGGTAGAGCACTAGGCTTGAGCAGAAAAGCTAAGCAAGAGCAAGAGGCCCTGAGTTCAAACACCCCAGTACCAGCACACACATGCACACATGCGCACACACGCACGCGCGCGCACACACACACGTGCGCGCACGCCAAGAAAATCGAATGGGAATTGTTAGGAAGAGGCTGTCCCATTCATTCGTTCATTCGGATGCTCATCCAGCAGGCTCCGAATGGCCCCCATTTTGCTGTAGTGATAGAGCGCCCTGGCGTGGAAGGTCCCCAGCCCCTCCCCCAGCGCGTGGGCTGCCCCTGTGCTGCCCGAGGGTGGGCACTGACCTCCCGTTTCTGTGCAGCGTCGGCATTCTCTGAGCGCTACCTGGGCCTCCACGGACTCGACAACAGGGCCTATGAGGTAGGTGGGGCGCAGCTGCATGCGTGGGAGTCGCCCCTCCTCCCCTTCCCTGCCCCCTCCGCCCACCCTCCCCCCCAGGGCCTCTGTAACTCGGCCATCAGAGCCCAGCCTAGGGAACCCCAAGGCCACCCTTTGACCACGCGTGAGCAGTGTGTGTGTGTGTGTGTGCACATGTGTGTGTGTGTGGCCTCCCGCTGCCGTGGTACAGACCATGCATGAGCTATGTGTGTGTGCACATGTGCGTGTGTGCGTGTGTGTGCACTTGTGCATATGTGTGGCCTCCTTCCGCTGCCGTGGTACAGACCATGCGTGAGCTGTGTGTGTGCACATGTGCGTGTGTGTGCGTGTGTGTGCACTTGTGCATATGTGTGGCCTCCTTCCGCTGCCTCGGTACAGACCATGCGTGAGCTGTGTGTGTGCGCACATGTGTGTGTGTGCACACGTGCGTGTGTGTGTGTGCACATGTGCATATGTGTGGCCTCCTTCCGCTGCCGCGGTACAGACCACGCATGAGCTGTGTGTGTGTGCGCACATGTGTGTGTGTGCACATGTGCATATGTGTGGCCTCCTGCTGCCACAATGCAGACCACGCATGAGCTGTGTGTGTGTGTGTGCACATGTGCATGTGTGGCCTCCTTCCGCTGCCACGGTACAGACCACGCATGAGTTGTGTGCATGTGTGTGCATATATATGTGCATACACACGTTCATGTGTGGCCTCCTTCAGCTGCCGTGATACAGACCACATGTGAGCTGTGTGCATGTATGTGCACATGGGCATGTGTGTGGCCTTCCGCTGCTGTGATGAAGACCACGCATGAGTTGTGTGTGCGTGTGTGCACGCATGTGTGCATTGTGTGGCCTCCTTCCACTGCTGCGATGCAGACCATGCATGAGCTGTGTGCGTGTGTGTGCATGTATGTGGCCTCCTTCAGCTGCTGCAATGCAGACCACGTGTGAGTTGTGTGTGCATGTATGTGCACACACGTGTGCATGGGTGTGGCCTCCTTCCACTGCTGCGATGCATGAGCTGTGTGTGTGCATGTACGTGGCCTCCTTCAGCTGCTGAGATGCAGACCACACGTGAGCTGTGTGTGTGTGTGTGTGCACGTGCGTGTGTGTGGCCTCTTTTCACTGCTGTGATATAGACCACACATAAGCTGTGTATGTGCGTGTGCGTGTGCATGGCTTCCTTCCACTGCCATGATGCAGACCATGCATGAGCTCTGTGTGTGTGTACATATGTGTGTATGTGGCCTCCTGCTGCTGCCAAGATGCAGACCACGCGTGAGCTGTGTGTGTGTGCATATGCTCGGCCTCCTTCCATTGCTGAGATGCAAGCCCAAGACCCGTGTGAGGGAGGGGGAAGGCTGAGAGTGTGCTGGGCCCGCCCGCCCGCTCCCTGCCCCTGGGGCTGTGGTCCTTTGGGAGGGAGACCTGTGATGGAGAGTGCTCCACCCCTGGACACTGAATGTCCCTAACTAGGCAGGGTGTCACACAGGGTCATGTGGGTGTCACACAGGGTCATGTGGGTGTCACAGGGCCATGTGGGTGTCACACAGGGCCATGTGGGTGTCACGCAGGGCCATGTGGGTGTCACGCAGGGCCATGTGGATGTCACACAGGGCCATGTGGGTGTCACAGGGCCATGTGGGTGTCACATGGTCATGTGGGTGTCACACAGGGCCATGTGGGTGTCACCCAGGGTCATGTGGGTGTCACACAGGGCCATGTGGGTGTCACACAGGGCCATGTGGGTGTCACACTCGGTCATGTGGGTGTCACACAGGGCCATGTGGGTGCCACAGGGCCATGTGGGTGTCACACAGGGCCATGTGGGTGTCACACAGGGCCATGTGGGTGTCACGCAGGGCCATGTGGGTGTCACACAGGGTCATGTGGGTGTCACACAGGGTCATGTGGGTGTCACATGGTCATGTGGGTGTCACATGGTCATGTGGGTGTCACACAGGGCCATGTGGGTGTCACGCAGGGCCATGTGGGTGTCACCCAGGGTCATGTGGGTGTCACACAGGGCCATGTGGGTGTCACACAGGGCCATGTGGGTGTCAC